TAGTGCGACAGGGCATCCAGCGTAGCCCAGTCGGGAATGGGCTCGACCGACCAAGCTTGGCTGGAACTTGCTGCAAAATTCGAAGGCACATTGAAACCACTCTTGCCAAAATCAATGATAGAAACCGAGACGTGGCCTGATGACAACCTTCTCATGTTTTGACTTGTTGCTAACTTTGTGTACCAAATCACAGCATGCTCCATGTCAATGACGGCTCCGACGTTCGAGAGGAAGTAGGCAGGAATGAGGAAAGGTATTGTTCCGGGGACCACCTGAACACGAAGTACACCTGACTTGCCCCCGAGACCGATTGGCACATAGGCAATAGATGTGCTTTCCTCCTTCCCGCAAACACCACGAACACTACCTCCGGCTTCATGAGACCATTGAACACGCAAACCAAATCTTTCTTGTAGGAGGGTGTCATGTTGCTCCAATGTTTCACGACCAACCAATCCATGTTGGGCAGCTGTATCAACCAAAGCGGTGCCCTGATCTTCATGAACCGCTAGAAAAACAAAGCTCAAGCCGGTGAACTCAGCTGCAATGTATTCGCTCTTGGTTTCAAGCTCATTGGTGGTCGTGAGAAAGGCCCCTGCCAGTTTAGCAGGTGGCTGAATGAAAAAGCCGGTACTCATGCCGGTGCTCATGGCGCCCGTGGAACTTGAACTTCTCGAAGTCGGTGAAGTGGTCTTGGCCCGATGTGGGCATTCTTTGCTCCAATGGCCAACCTGCTTGCAAGTGTGGCAGCGGGTTTTGGCCTTCAAGTCATTCAGGCTCATGCGGGATCCGGTTCTTGTCCATGGTCGGTCGTATCCACGACCGTTGCGGCTAGCTTGCAAAAGGCGTCTATGCTCGAGGTAGCCGCCGCCCTTGCCAGAGCCAAAACTAGGTGCACCCTGGCCGTAGGTCCGTGTGGGACTCTTGCTCTTTCCCTTCTTTCCTTTGCCCTTGAAGCCTTTTCCTTTGCTCTGCATGCGGTTGTGTGCCTCGTAGTAGATCTCCTCGATCTGGTTGGAAACCGCTTCCAGAGCATCAGCCTCATCCATGATGACGGGCAATTCATCTTGGAAGACCATTTGCGCTTCTTCGTTCTCATTCATGCAAATCAGGTCCTCGAAGGGGTCCATCAGCTCAGACTCGAAGACGTCATAGTCCCAGTCCTCATCTTCAATCTCTCCATCTTCATTGTCACCCCAGTAGGTGGCACTTCGCCATCGTCGATGAGGTGCTCCATGGTCTTGGGAGAGTTCATCAAGTCGGTCACCAAAGACCTTCTGGATAGCCATCTCGATCTCCCGAAAGTCGATCGATCCATTGGTCACGACCTTCAACCTCTGACGTTGATCTTGGCTGAATGACCCTTGGCGAAGGATCAGATGGCCAAGAAGGTGTCTACCAGCTGGCGTCGCCAAAAGGTCGAGGCCTTGTTTTCTCAACTCTGCAAATGCCGCCTTCTTGTTCGTCAGGAAGGTGGTCAGGGACATTCCTTTGTCCCGGCGGCCTCGAAAGATGGCCTCGTCAAAGGCCTGCTCCAAACGCTGGTCCTTGAGGTATTCATGGGCGTCCTCGATGATCTGAACGATCGTCTTGTGCCCGGTGTCCGAGCAAATCTCTTCCACCGTCAGGTGGGCAACCAAGGAGCTCAATCGTGAGCCCAAAGGGATGGCATCAATGATGCGCTTGCCAATCAAATTCAAAGGCAACCTCGCCTCTGCCTCCACCAGCCACAACTGTAAATTTCTCTGGTACTCGCGGAACTGCTTCTCTGGCATTTCGCCGCCCCAACTCGGAGCAGGGTCAAGGCGGTAGTCCACGTGTTTCTTGGGCTCCCGGCCTTCATTGCCGGACTTCGGAGTGGCAGGATGCGAAGGCATACGAGGCGGTGTAGTAGCCAGCCTAGGCGGACCAGTGAGAGCTCTGCTCCATGGATCTTCTGGCTCATCATGGAGTCCCGGGTCAACGGGTTGAGATTCTCCCAAAGGTCGTTGGGGACTATGCGGAGGCATGGGTGTAGCCGTCGGCGGAGTGGGGGATGTACCGGATGGGTTCATCGATGAAGTGGCTCCAGTCCCACGCCAAGTCCTAGCTGGCGGTGGCATTCCACCAAAGGCCAATGGCCGAAAACAAGGAACAAACTTCCCAGCGCAACCTGGTAATCGAAGGGCTCCAAGAAATAGTAACTTCCCCAAAATCCCTGGGTAGAACCACCGCGAGAACGCGGTCCAAACAAAGCGTCGAGCAGCCGGGGGGCGTCCCCCCCGAGACCAACTCAAACACGTCCTCGCGGGAGCCCCAGTCGTCACCGGGGCTCCGCTACCACTGTTGAGCCGCACGAAGATCGGCCGTTTTCCTCGCCATGAACGAAAGGGGGCTCAAGGCGCCTCGTAAGGCACATGAAGGTTGGGCCAAATGGTGGCCAGCGGGAAAGGGGTTCCGGACCCTGGGTCATGAGCATGCTCTGAATGCTATGCATTTCCACACAGTCTCTGGTAGCCGGTAGCCTTGGATAGTGGATCTCACACAGTCGCCGCATCCATGCCGTTCTTCACGTCAAGTGTTTCGGTCATTGCGTATATGAGTATATGCATACATACTCACACCATCGATATTCAAGCAAGCAAAAACGTCTATTACTGCATGGGCCAATAGCTACCCTGCATCACCCCACACTTTCGCCAAAACCACTCAATGTTTCTCGATTCCTCGATTCCGTCTTCACTTGACAGAGTAGAGTGCCTAAATAAGCCCTGCTTTCGTGCTTCAGAGCTTGAAATCACCGCATCCTGCCCTTCAGGTGACGGTTATTGGTTTTGTCTACAAGCTACCCTTGTTCTTTCAAGCTCACTGATCTCAAAGAAAAACTGACGAAACTCTGGATCGTGCTTCAGGGACCCAGGCCGGATGTGGTTCGAGTGCAGCTGCGGTTCGAGTGCAGTGTCGTCTTGCATGCATTTACCACACCACCGAGGCCACGTGCTCACTACCAGAGCTCAAGAGCTTCTGAGTGATCACATCTACTGCAACAGAAACGTTTGTCTCCTTCGCAGGGCCATGAACCCTGATCTGCTTTCCTCTCGCTTGTTCCGCCATCCCATTCGAGGAAATCCACTTCGAGCCAGCAAATCGGAAAATATGAAGGGCGTGTGGGGAATCCAGAGCCAAATATAAACAATCAAACTGGCCAAACTTGACACCGTCGAACAAGCAATTCCAAGAATCATGAGACCACATTGGCCTCGACGATTTGCATTCAAAGCGCAAACCATCTCTATGCCAGTCGCAGGGTGAATTATACACTGTTGAACCTGCATGCGCCGAACCAGGATGGCTAAGCAAATCTACTTCCTCCACCACATGCTGGAGCAAAATGCCGCGTGCTGCAGGTGTCATGTGGCTCAAGGGATGCTGAGCAAATGCATCACGTTGGAGCTTCAATGAAAGTTGTTCGGTGTGCTGCTGCACAGCTGCAACCACCAACTCATTGGAGGTCTTGAGCTGAGTGATGAACAGACCGCACTGCCGAAGTTTCTTCAGTAGCACGCCTTCTGCCTCTCTCCAGTCCACCATGCCTCTTGCACTGTACATATTCAATCCAAGTCCAGAATGAGCCGTTGCAACTCCTCTTGTTGAAAGCCTGCTCTTGCAATCATGAGTATACAAATGCAGCCCAGAGGGGCTGTACAGGACCAATACCAAGTCATCAAACGCATGTAATTTAATTCCACAAAAATTAGCTCTCCACGTGCCTTTTGATTCGGACCAACACATTTGAGCTGACTTGCACTGCGTTCTTCTGCCATCAAAGAGCCAATCGTATTCAGCACAATGTAAGGCACGCCTCCTCCCATCACATCGATGCCCAGGTATTGGATCTTCAACCCTGGAACCTGGGTAAAGTCTTGCAAAAAATCTCCGAGCCACTGTTTCAATCACTGTTCCCCGTCGTGTTGGTGTGATCTGAGCAAGTGGGCAGTCTGCATATGCAGCCCTTGTAATTGAGATTGTATCCTTTCCCCAATCTTGGGGAGCTTCCAAGGAAGACCAAGGGATTATGCAAACATGACGCACACATGGCCTCCACAAAACGACAACAGATTTGGAATGCAGTTCCCTTGCCAAGAGCCGCAAACTCATGGGCAGCTCTCTGGACAAAGCTAGCAAAGTGCTTTGAGCCAAATTTTGGTTCCATCAGTCTATCAGTGTTGATAAAGCTCATCCCAAAACAAAACGACCCCTCCGGACCCCTCCCCGTATATTACTACTTTTGGACAGGATGGCTACAGGAATGTACTTTTGCCTCTTGGTCTCTACTGCCAGCAATAAGTTGACCTCAGCTTGGCACGAAGTATGCTGGAAGAGTCTCCATCAATGGATCATCGAGGGGCTACGAGGATCAATTTGTCCCAAAAAGAAAAAGTTCATCATCGATACTGTATGTATCTGTGATTATGTCAATCCTTGGCATGTAGACCCAAACTAATCTTGGAGTACTAGTATCTCTTAAGCAAGAAACGATACTGTTCCACAAGTTCCACTCCGATAACTTGGATTGAAAACGACAAATCTAAACCAAGCATCGCATTGGGACCCACTACGGTTGCCTTGCTATTTGAGATCTCCAGCTTGGTCACAGCTTTGACCGCAAGTGCCAGTGCGGGCCATGAAAGGCGGAGCATTGGATGTCTACCACCAGCTAGCGTGACGTTGTATTATGGTTGAAGAGGTAATTAGTCTCTCTGTTAGGTTTGCCAGCTTGCTGACCTTGCATCTGTAAGAGACATATTCTGCTTTATTCTGTATCTAGCTAATCTAGCTGCCGAATGATAAGTGCATCATTTCTTCAAAACAGATGCTTTACTTATAGTGTTCTACCAGATTCTGTGACTTGCACCGGTCTTCGGAGTTCCTTCGACTTGGCCAGAAACCGAAGTTCCACACCGATGGAACTTGATGCGCCACGCCACGGTCTTCACGCCGCCTCGTCACCGCCTTCGGTCCTCCACGTCCCTCTTCTTTCGCAGGGGCAAGATCAATTTCGCGAAGGAGGAGAAGGACACTAAGCCTCGGGTAGCGAGAGCACATTTTTGCCAAGAAAGGAATGAAGACACGGCCATGTCCAAGCAGGCCCAGGAGGTGCTCAGGAGATGCTCAGGATGACAAGGTCAGAAGCATCTGGTTGTCGAACTATGGGATGGATTGAACGATGGGTCGAACTATCCAAGCTCATCCTATATTTAAAAGGTTGTTGTATATACAGATTTGGATTCTCAGGTCAAAACAGTTCAACAAAAGGGCTCTTCACCTGATCTGTACTCCCCGAATTAAGGGGATGGAATTGAAATACATCTCAACCAACACCCTGGAAGCCCCTGGTGTCTTTTTTCCACAGTCATCAGGCGTGGAAAACCACCGACATCCATCGCCATGTGTCCAAATCTCAGTTCAAGTGATCCGAGTACGGTCGGGTCACTTTGGAGAGAAGAACAACAGCATTGTGGTGTGGGGTCTTTTCCTTTTGACCCACACAGAAAAGAAACGCATGTCGCATGTCTTTCATTCCAATGCACGGGAATGAGCATCCCGGTTTGAATCCATCCAACAACTTGAACGTCCCCATGATTGAAGCATCTTGCATCTTTATCTTCCCAGGGCGCTGCGTAACAAGTAACTGGTAAACGACCGTCTGTGTCTTCATGCGTCTTTCCACCTTCTTATGGGTTCTATCTGGATCCTGTCTGCGAACTGCCTTGGCGCACCAAGTGGACCTCCAACTCAGTAATATGCAATATATTCACATGGCCTTGTTAAAGACTCCACCACAATTTCACCCGCTTGTCTCTCGGTAAAAACTTGCTTTTTTGCACCCTTCCAAGAGAGAGGTCGGCTGGGTAGTCAACAAATATTAGTGAGACTCATTCCAAGACCCTGAGGTGATCCTGTTTCTGTTCAAGAATACACTCCCACTCACTAACATGGACGTGGAAAACCACCTGTTCGTAGAGCGAGATGGTGTTCCTGGGACCTATTTCCCACTTCCAAGTGAGTCAGAGTCAGACTGTAACATCTTCAATCTAAAGGCAGGGTGAAAGAGCTGGCAAACTCACAGAGACTGCTCTAGTCAGGGTCTTCTTCCCTAAACTACTAGGGAGTTGTGCCGGCGGAAACTCATCTAGAATCTTGACTGATAAAACCTGCCCATTTGGATGGTATATGGGGGGGTATATTAATCAAGAGTCTACATGATGTAAATGAGCTTAAAATGATATCCCCTCCATTCAGTTGCCGGCATCCACTTGGGCAAACCCGAGTAGCACTGATGTGAAAACGGACAAATGAAAACGTATGTTTTCCAGGTCCATTAAATCGGATCGAAGGGACAAATCTCATCCTCCTCCTTGAGCTCATGAAAGATCTCCATGCAGGCATCCCGGACCTCATGAGGTCGCTACCAAAAGCAGCTGAGAATGTTGTTCGGTCGCTCCAAAGTGTAAGGGAAAATAACCAAACACACTAAGGTGTCCAAATGAGTTGCTGCTATGTGGCAGCCTTTGTGGGTGGCATTCACTGTAGTCCACCTTTGATCATAGGGCACAACTCTCTCCTCGTGAGCATCACTCTCCACCATAGGGCTTGATCAAATTTACTGTTCCGTGGTGAACTTTGGTGGTTTAGGGGCCAAGGACATGCGCCAAACTCTTCATGGAAAAAGCAAAGTGCCCCACTGAGAAGTAGTTTAACCAGGTGAAGAATGGTCTTCAAATGTCGTTACAGCCTGTTCCGCAAGAAAAGGTGCAGAAGTTTTTAGGCGTAGCTGGTCTATCCATGTAGGTATGGTCACTTACCCTAGGCCCTAGCCCCATCCCCTATCAGACCAAGGAACATCAGACAGAGCCGGGGCCATTGAGTAGGAGACGTCCTCAGTGTTAGACCGAGGCTGCCAAGTCTCAGAAGATATGCTGCAGCACAGCTGCCAGACTCACCCAAAGCAGCAGTTCATCTCTCCCAACAGGGTTTTGCAACATCATAATGATCTCCCTCTGGCATTCAGCTTGGGGCCACTCTGCATTGCCGAGTGCTCCATGTCGGATTCGAACAGTCCGAAGCTTGTGTGGATAATAATCGCCTTTTGCCCTATAAACTATGTTCCTTTGGAGCATCGACATCGTGGGTCAATTCAGCAAAAGTGTTGAGTTCTCCATTTGCAAATCCATTCACCAAAGGAACCCCGAGTGCGGGTAAAAAAACATCATTCCCGGAAAAAAAAAAAACGAAGGGAACCCATGAGTAGAACTCTACTGGATCATCTCTGAGCAAAGGGAAGCTGTTCACTCTCCTTTTGGATCACCCGCAACTCCCAAGTCACAATTTACACCATCGGGCAACAAATAGATTCAAATGGCACAGCGCGAGGGCCAGTAAAAGGCACTGTAATGGCCTATATTGCCCCCCCCTACACAACAATGAGGGGATGAATGGCCCCCGTTTGGGTCACAGAAATCAGCAAAACAAGATGCCGCAACCTCTCCTCTCTTCTCCCCTTCCCTTTCCCCTCCCTTTCCTTTTACTCTCCTTCCGTTCCTTCATTTCTCCTTTCCCTCTCCTTGCCTTCCCCTCTCCTGTCGATGTCCTTTCTCTCTCCTCTCCTTTTCTTTCCTTTCCTTCACTGCCCAAGGCCCGGTATTGAAAGATGACAATGATGGTTGAACAAATAGATGGTGCAACTCATGTCCCGTCCTTCCCTTCCCCTTTCCCTTTCCTCTCCCGTGCTTTTCTTCTCCTTTTCCCTCTCCTTTCCTGAAGTCGCCGACCCGAGCTGTAGATCACAGTGCGGAGCATGCAGCCCAACAATTCCAAGAAAGCTGAGAGTAATCTCATGGACCAGAAAGTTTCGATCAAAGCGCCCAAGGCAGTCAATTTCAATTTGCTCGTCCGCCAAAAGGCAAAATAGCCAATTCCTTGCTAATGTGCTACTTCTCAAAGCCTCCCAGCAAAAACTGAAAAAAAAGTGTGCAGTCTTTGTTGGGTTTTTCTGTAGGTACAAAGTACTCAACGAAGGTCCAAGAAGCAATGATCAGTACCAGTCGCAGCGGTGGCCGTGCTGGAGCCTCTTCCACCTCAGCAGCGTCTCTGTCGCACGTGGAGCCAAAACGAACCATCTGTGCATGGAAAACGTCTTGATACCTATAGACTTGCCTACTGTAGACTGACGACTACAGTATCCAGAAGGTTGCTATCCCAAGACTTCCTCAAGTATACTGAGCTGGCTCAGCTTTCGGAAGACCGTTGGCCCCAAAAGGTGGCTCTGAAGTCCAGTTCGAGCAAAGGTCGGTTGGACATAGCCAGTCAAGAAGTGAAGAACAACCTTGCGTTTTTCATGTGTTGAGTCCAAGCTGCATGACCAAAACACTTGGCTTCCTCAAAATCGATTGTCCCAGCAAGAGACCCCAAACAGTGTGTCTAAAGGTCTAAGGCCTACAGGTGTAGAAGCAGAAGGTCTAGAGATCTAGACGCGGGCTCCAGAGAGAGGTGGTGGTGGTGCCCGATGCAACACCTCGATTCAACACCGGCCCTTAACTCCTACCCTAAGAACTCCTAGTGGCAGTGTGACCACACTGTTTATGGAATTGTAGAAACGACTACAGTAGAATCCAGGTGTAGGAAATAGATCAACACAAACCTTTCTGCATGGCCACGCACACAGGCCTGGTTTCGACTATGAGACCCACAGGAGGTAATAAAGTCTTCATCTTCAAACCTCACGTGTCATCACATGTCAAGTGAAAGGGGCTGCCAGGCAGTCACGTTAGTTTCCCCGCCTTCTGCTGACAAAACTCCTGGTGTGTTTCATGGTGTCACATGGTGTCAGCTGATGTCATTGCACTGGCTCACCCCCCCCCAACTCACCTATGCTGGTCCCAACCAGCCACCCAACCTCATGAGGGTCCCTTCACAAGGCACTTTCCTTAGGGCTCGAAAAGAGGGTCCAAAGGCCAGCTGCAGCTCGATGTGAGTTGACCAGTTGACTGCTGTTCGATGTTTCAGATGAGAGTTCTGGGTTGTGAGGAGGCTTCTGTGTTGTTCTGTCTTGGTCCAGGTTAATCATGAACGTTTTCCAGCTTTCTCCTCACACACAGCCATTGATTCTTTGATTTACCACACAACAACCTCACCAACCGCCTCCCCGGCCGAGCGTCCATCGGCGCACCGCGGAGGTCCACGGCCAGCACGGCACGCGGTGGGCCGAGCACGGCGTCGGCGGCCTGGGTGGAGGATGAGAGGTTGTGTGGCGGGTAGGTTTCATTCAGAATTTAAAAAAAGAATACCCTGCCCAAACCAAAAAAAGGGGTTGGTTGGCTTCATGAACAAAAAGCCAACATATCTGAACAGTTGATCTGTCGTTCAATGAGCCGCAGCCCAGTTCCGAACGTTTGACCCAAAGTCTTATCCCAAGGTTTCGTTCAGGCCCTTAGAAATTCAAGTTGATGGACGGTAGAAGGGTAGGACCTACAGAGGAACATGTGGGGTCTTCTGCAGGCACTTGGAAGCATGGCAGGCACCAAGTCCAACAGGAATCGGACATGGTTAAAGAGACTTTGCCGGAAACCATGTCCAATGTCTTAGAGTCTTAGAGAGTTGTATCCAAGACCCCTGTCAAGTAAGTTCTTCAAGGTAACTTGAGAAACTGATACACGCACACACACACACACACACTCCTCCAATTAACAAGAACCCCCCTACCTAAACCCAAACAGTAAAGGTGTTTGTCCATTTCCAAAAAATAAGCTCTACTCTGCAGTGGTTTTTGGCAGTACATCCAACATCAAACCATTGAACTTGGTGTCTGTATCTTTCGACACACCCCATGTTTCCAAGCAAAAAAAACGTCCATCAACCTTGGGTCTGGTAGTAAATAACCATGATTCATGATTCATAAGTATGCGCCTCCACCAAACCCTGGATCTACGCTAGCACCACAAAACCGAAGGCTCGCAAACCGGCGTAGAAACCGAACGCCGGACCTAACGCGTCTGGTGCCTCCTCCTTGTCCAATTTCACGTGTGCGCCTAGGACCTGCGAGTGAGAATGACCACAGGCGTCGAAAATTCGAAATGCCAAGTCGGTTTCCCTGCAAAGTCAATTGCATTGCCCCAGGTGTTTTGGAGGACCTTCCCTCCCGAAAAGAAACCAGTCATTCATTCCTTTTGCGGAAAGCGGCATCGGTGTGCGGCAAACTTCACAATGGGATTTGGATAGCTGACAAGGCTGGACCCATAGGGACAAGATATCCAAAACAACTATCCAATCGAAAAGAGAATGCCAGGAGATGGGTATGGAATCCAAGTTCTCATACCTCCATGGGACTCCCATATTTGCCATGGATCGTATTAGTGTTTCACAGAGGCTCTCCTCACCACGTGAAAATCAAAAAGAAGGGTGGCTTTAAAGGGTCGATGTAGGCACAATACAATGTAGACTATTGATTACATAATGTTTCATTATTAATTATTGTTCAACTTTCAATCCACTAGAGGTTCTCAATGGTTTTGTAAAATGACAGCTTGGGTGGATCAACAGAGGACCGCTTTCTCAAAGAGGTCGACGACGTGGCTCTGTGCAGCTCTCATCCCCGCCTGCAGGGAGGCCAAGCCGGGGCCCGGTGCTGTCACGTCCAGCAACCTGGATGGCTGTGCTGTGGGTGCTGCAAGTGCTCAGAAGAGTTGCCAAAGACTTCGGACTGCTAGGACCAAGCAGGTGAAGCTATCATAACCCCTCCCTGCCCCTCCCTGAAACAAGCATAGAAGGGGAGATGAATGAACTACGGTGAGTAGAGCAAAACCGTCTTCCTTGAAAGGGGCCATGTTCCACGTACTGTAACATTGCTTGTGTTGGAGGGATGGGTGTGTTGGAGGGAGGGTTCCCAGGGAATCTGGATCGCATTGACTTTCGATTCACCCTGTGGTGTGGAGAAGAAACACCATGGCTTCCCCATTCCCAGAGTCCTTTGGCTCTGCAGGTAGGTCAGATCACCAGTGAAGACTCTGGACGGATCACTACGGCGAGAAATTTGGGGAGTGGAGGGCAGAGTTGAGATGTCTAAGGTGAGCTTAGTAAGAAGAACAAAGTACAAAATGATGATGGGGCCTGGTTCCAGGCCTTTCCATCTCAAAAACAGTGACAGCCGTTTTATCGACTGTTACAGGTAATGGGCGTAATGGGACTCATTCAAGATCCAAACAACAAAAACATGTTCAAAAACTGACACCCCCACAACGGGAAAAATAAGAAAACATCTTTTTGATGGACCTTTAACCCGATTCTACCCACGTGCCACGTGCAACTTTCAGATTTGGAACCAAGAATCTTTGGGTTCGGGACCTCATCAAGGAAACCATCCATACAAGGGATGAAAGAACGAATCCACCGCAACGCCCACAAAAGAAAACTTGGATTTGGGGCAATCTCCCACTCTTGCAAGTTTTCGGGCTGTCACCTGCTTCTTTCAATCCTTTCCCAAAACCCTCCCCGCCTCCCCTCAGTCCTCCCGGCCTCGCCATCGCCGCTCGGGTCCGCAAGGGGTCCGCGGGGCTGGCCACTCTGGAATTTGTTCGATCTGTTGTTGGAAACCTGTGGGGTCGGGCGAGGTCAGAGACAGAGGCGTTCCGAAGCAGAAACAATGTGAAGTGGTGATGCTGAGCTGCCCGGTGAAGTTGGTCAGAAATTATTGAATCATATGGATCTTGATTGGAAGCGTGTTTGGATCTTGATTGGAAGTCTGTTTGAATTTGATTGGAAGAAACAGTGACTTTCTGGGTGAGGTGAGGCCGGGTCTAATTCTGGTTGTTGGTCTGTGCTTCACAGCCATGCATCCCGGATCACACGTGGGGCCGTTCTGCTATTCACATCCATTCATGTTGGGAAGATAAGAAACATGAGGGTAACTCTCAGAGTACGAAGCAGAACACATTTCCTTTTCCTGAGAATCTGAGGCCTATATCCAAGCACCTGCCAGCCATGTAAAGAAGCCCGGAACAGTCAAGCTGCGCATCAAAAAATACAAAAACAAGTGAAAGACCTTCACGAAAGGTGAACTTGGCAACTACTGCTCCTGGTCCTTGCTTAGTGTGGCCACCGGCATGACTACGTGGTGGTCATCTAAACTAGAACTATACTGCAGCTGGCCAAAATCACAGCCTCCCAGTGCGTCTGAGACACGTTGAGCTCTTGCCCGGCCCAGTGAAAGCTCAAGCTGAACGCTGTTTCGGCGAGCGAACGGCACGGCGAGTGAGGCTCAGAGGAGTGTGGCATGGCACTGAACAGCAAGACTGACAAAGCCTGACCCAAGGATTAGAGGACTGGAGGACGCCACTGGCGGCCCCTCTTTGGATGGCTTTTCGGAGGGCCCAGCGAAGTCATTGTCTTAATTGAAAATGGTATGCGGATGTATGCATTGATGCTGGATAGACCATGGGTATAAGTGGGTCCCCAGCCACATTGGCATTGGAACTCGTCCGTAGTTCCTGAAGGTTGCCCAAGCAGCCATCCACATCTGACCAAGCAGCCTCCGACAAACACCGCTTGCCAAACGAAAACATGAACTCCACTCTCGCTGGGACGACACAGAGCCGCAGTAGATCACCACCCAGAGACGATGGGTCAAAGACCCCAAACATGAGAATGAACTACTCAACAGACCCCACGTGCACGTGCGACCGCGTGATCCTATGCAAAGTGCGTTTTTTTGACTTGAAGGCATCATGTAGACTCTTTGGTTGATCAAAAACCCGAAGAAGCGCTACCATCCAACCGGTTTTTTGGTCAATGAAGAGTCTACGTTAATGCAACCTGATGAAGTATCACCCGGACATAGTGATGAGTTCGGCCCCATTTTCTATTTACGGTGTTTTATGATGTTTTGTGGGTCAATGTAGGTGTATGTTCCAGTCCCATAGACTCAGGGTGCAATCAGGATCCATCATCCACATCGACCACACGCGCGCGCGCGCTGCTCCGCTGCTCCTTGCGACAACCGGGCCTGAGAGGTGGAAGGTCCCACGAGGAGAAGGGGATCGGTGGTGGAGAAGGGCGGAGGGCGGACGAAAACATCAATCTGTCTGGGCTTCAAAAACTCTCTTTTTTGGGGCTTCAAGAGAGATTGACTGCATGTGGGTGTGTGGTCAACCCCAAATGAGAATGGCCTTATTAGACATGGTAGAGATGGATCCACCGGAGTCCTTTGTTCCTGCTTAAGACGAGTTTTGTTCAAGAGGATGCTCATGATTGGTATGTTCAAGAGGATGCTAAGCTGCTAAGCTTCCACAACCAAACCATTATTGGCGTTTACAGCCAAACGGCAAAACTCTAGCCTCGTAGTTTGCCGGTTTGGTCGGAACATGAACCAAACCAAGTCACACAGAGCTTCAGGATCCTCTGCCCCCCGTTGTTGAAAAAGCACACCACCCAAACAAAAACAGCCGCTCCGTCACCACTCCCTCCGCGCCTCTTCTCGCCGCCGTTCCCGTCGGCGCCGTCGGCGCCGGCGGCCTTGTCGATGGCGGCCGCCTGGGCCTGATTGTTGGCCGCCAGCTCTCCAAGGTCCTCTGCCCGACCACTGGCGAAGCGAAGCGAAGCGAAGCGCGGTGTTTTTCCGCGGAATTCTCTGGCACCAACGGGGCGGTGCTATGGGGATTTCGTGGGGGGGAAAAGGAGGGTGTTTCTTTGGTGGTCTGCAAAGGCAAACGTAGAGCAACGAGGAGGGTCGAAGTGCGGATGTTGTGGTTGTTGAGACCGAAGGTGTTGTAAAGAGAAAGTGAGACCAGTGGGAGGATGCAGGATCTAGCTTGAAAGCTCAAAGATGGAGTGCCACCCAGTCGCTGGGAAAAGGGAAATGCCCCCCAAAAAGAGTTACAAACCCTCGAAGGTTAAGCCTATATTAGAGAGAAATCAAAAAAAGGACATCAAACGTCACTCAAAAAGAGTCCAAAAAAACATCCCTCCAAGTACAGTATGTTTTTTTTTCCGGCCATCACCCCAAACCCACACCTCCAGGTTTCTTGAACTCTCACAGATTCGTGCACTGAGTACACGTGGCTCTCACAGATGCATCTACACAGTCTATACTGATGGAGCATGTCTGACGGCAGATGGGTGGATGTCTTGGACATTCTGGATAGCATGCCTCAAAACCAGGAACCATCCACTCACTTTAGAGACGAAAAACATCTAAAAAAATTCTACAAACATCTAAAACCCACCCCCCTTTCCCGCCCTGACTCTGACTGCAAAAACAATAGCGGCTCCCTGGCGCCACGGATCCATGGCCCAACTTTCCGCACGATGCGCCCGCTGCCTCGGTGGAGGCGCCTTCCGGCAGCGGCGGGCTCAAGGGCGGCGCCTCGCGCCGAGCGCAGCGCGTGCGCGGAGGAGTCGAGGGCGCCAAGGGAGTTGAACCAGCAAAATGAACCTTGTTCAACGTGGCATGGCTTAAATCCTTGTAAGGAGTCCAACATTGAATGGTGAAAGGCATTGAAGGTCGAAGCTACATCTGCCCAGTGGGGCGGACTCTTGTTTCGATCGGCCACCCATTTTTGTCCTTGACCGTCTTGGAAGAACTGTATGAAGCTTTGGCATTTCCACTGACTGTTTTGGCCTTTGTTGTGGCCGCTTTGGCCTTTGCACCGCCTGCTTGGGGCTGGGCTAGCCGCGGCTTTGGGTGTAGCCACGGCCTCGGCAGGTTTCTTCAGGGTTGGTACTTCAAGCAACACTGCGTCCTGCTCCTCTTCTGGCTCCACCGACGCATCCAGCATTTGAGCTTTCTTTGCATCCAGCGGATCCCCAAACACTTGTGGTGTTTTCGCAGACATGGGCAGCTCTGCCGAGGGTCGACCGACTTTAAGAAGATCTTTGGTCTTGCAGGCAGACCCTGCTGGAAACCTTTCAGTAGAGCCAGATGCAAAAAGGTTCCTGCCTTGATTCATCATTTGCATGTTCATCATGTGCGTGTTGTGCATGTAACTCAAGTACTGATGGGGTAGCATGGGTTGACTCTTGTCAGCGGCGAGGTCCAGGTGTCTCGATGACCTTAGCAGAGCCTCGCAAAGCCTCGCAGGGTGACGTTGTGGCACAAGATGACTGCTTCATCCAAGTTTGCCGGAGGGTCAGCATCTCCATATGCATCAGCAAAACCATGGTAGTTGAGCACGGATCATCTGGAAACTCCGTCCAATATGATGGGAAGAATCGGCTCTTTAGGTCCATCCCACACGATCCCAAGAGAGTCAACTTCCAGCCGCTCTTCACGATTGGTCGCCCGCAACTGTCAAAAGGCAGGTTATTGCCATACCTTCTGTATTCTGTTGGTAATCCCTCAGATACATGCGTGTCATGTTTCGTGAGTTGCCCCATGAATAGGTAAACGAAGAGTGATCCTGCAGACTACAAACCAAGCGTGAAACAAAGCTTATATTAGAGGACAAGAAAACAGAAATTGATGTGATAACTGGAGGCATGAAAGCTAGAGCAGTTAGTGTCTAGTTTGACCGCTCGTGTCTTTAACGTGCTGAAGAGTTTCACCTGACATCTTGCTCTCTCTCTCTCTCTCTCTCTTTACCTGCATTTTGCTCGGTCGATCTTCTGACCTGGTCGATCTCGTTGTGGTTTCTGTCCTAAAAGAGGGGCGAGCGCTGGCAAGCAACCTGGAATTGATCCACGCACTCAATTGGGTTACCTGGGTTTTTCCCACTGAACATAAACAGGAAAGGACAACCTACAGGAGGTCAACCCGGGCGAGTTCTTGTTCCGGGCGCGGCGCAACGGGGGCCATGAGCGTTGAGCCAAGTCCTCTTTTGGTGAATCAGACCATGGGCCAAAGCCGATCACCCCCATCAACACCTCGATCCAACAAACGTTAAGAGAATGCAATAGACTATACATACAGTCTGTCTGCCCCAACGTCCGGATCTCGGGGTACCTCACCTGTTTTGATCTGAACAAGGACCCTCTACACCAACTAAACATGCAGGACCAAAGGTGGATGCCAGGAAAATGACGAACATGGGCTTTGCTATTCTTTCATCATATTCTTTCACCGCGCAACCCTTGGAAGCGTCCAACCACGACACCGATTCCACAGTTTTCCATCCTCCACGCGCGACCCACCGGCGCAGAAACGTGCTGCCCACGTGCTGTCGCTCTCCGCGGCCTGAGCGGCTTTGGCTTCCCGAAAGGCAGCACCTCGCAGCACCGAAGCGTCGGACCACCCCGACCGGACCCGAGGACCCGAGGACCCGAGGACCCGAGGACCCGAGGACTCGAGGACTGAGGACGGCGGTTCTTTTTGTGGAGCAAAAGAAACGCGAAGTGGAGACATAGGCCAGGTGTCGTCAAGTTGGTAGATTGGATCAAGGTAATGACCGAATGACCTATATAACGGTTGTGGACAAGAAGGTGTGGATTGAACTCTTTACCATCAATTTGCCATGCGTCCCATTCAGCAAATCTCTACCATGTGAAAAGGTGCAAGAAACCACTGACTCAAGAATCAAATGTCTGTCTGTCAACAGTTTGTCTCAATTCCCGCAAAAAATCAAGAAGAACATAGAAGAACTATAGTGTAACCAGTGAGCGGATTGATGTTCAGAATCAGAATCAGAAGGCTAGGCTTCGCTCTCCTCTTCCATGAAGACTTCTCCCCCCAACAAACCACACATCGGTTCGTCTCTGATCCCTTCACCCGCCGGGGCGCCCAATTTTGAATGATCGAAGTCGCTCTTGGCGTCCCCCTGGAGCGGGCGGAGGTACCGGGCTGGTGTGACTTCTTCACCGGGCCATGTGACCTACCTAGTACCTTGGGAGGAGCTCATGGCCCTGATCACCCAGGTGTAGACCTAGCACTGCTGCACACCTGAGCTGCTGCACACCTTTTAGCCTCAGCTTCACACTTTGCCGGGAGTTGTTTCATCAGAGCTTCATGGAGTTGTTTCATCCACAACATGCCAACAGGCAAACATCGAAACCTCGGTTCAGGTGACGGTTTAGGCCAAGGCGATGCTGGCGGAGGGAAAAGCGATTCCCCCCACGTCACTCAGCACGGGTTGACCCAAACCACCACGTGCGGACGTTGCGATCCAGTCCACCCCTCTCAGCAGTTCCACCCTTTTGGGGGCGCTGCTGATGGTGTTCTGCGTGTGAAAAGATGGGGGGGCGCACCCCCCACCCAAACTGGGGAGTTTTGAGGAGGATGAACCCGAAGCTATCTCG